CGGTACAGCTGAATATCAGCCCTATTTAAATCTGCAAGAAAATAGCTGCAGGTGACATAACCTTTCGTGTCGTACCACTGTGTACATACACAAATAATTGGGGCTCTTGACCCTGTCTGGGCCCATACAACTGTAAGTACAAACTTGACATTTTGATACTGCTGCTAGCCTTTCCCGTTGTTATTTTCTGTTTCAATAATCCATTGCAGGTAGAAAAATGAAAGAAGGAAGCATGAATGATTAATGCTGTCAAGCTAAAATAATGTATTTAGAAAAATCTATAAATCTGTTATTTGTGGCATTTTAAAACGGAACACGACAGTCCTCAGTGCCACGCCGCCTGTTTCCCAGCAGATGAATGTGAGTGCTGTGCCGCCTGGGAAGCCTATGAGGCCAATGGGCCTCTGGAGTCGGGGCTGGATTGCTGGGCTGCGGTTGGCCTAGGATGAATGTGATGGGAAATTTGGGTTTCTCTTAATACCAAGGTCAAGAGCAAAGACTCACATGAGTCTTTGGTTGAATTCCTCTTCTATTTTGCATCAAGATAAAGCTGAGTTACGCTTCTCAAAAAATTTGGTCCTCCATTCCCTGGGTTCTGTACCCCAGTGGCTCCCAGACTGCCTCTTGTTTCTTGCCCATAGCCACCCTCTATTGGAGTGAGTTCAAAGTCAAAGGGTCAACCTTCAAGCTGATCAAGTTAGACTTACTGGAGGCTTTGTACAGCTCCCAGCAGTCTACTCAGTGCTAATCCTTCCTCTAGCTCATGAATCTCCTGTTCTCACTGACCCCAAAATGAATTTTCTCAGACTCCAACACAGATACTTTCAAACCCTCTCCAAGATGTTCACACTCTGTAGAGGTTAACAGCTACCTACAGTATGCCTTTCCAAACCCCGGTCTCTCTACTGTAACCCACAGAGTTCTGATTAAAGTAGTACAGGGCCTACCAAAGACCCCATTAGCTTCCCATGCAGCACATTAAATGGCTGGATTGGTAGAATCAATGTATTTGTCATTGGCTTGGGAAGCAACTCCAACAATGGTCAATGCACATCAAAGTTATATTATCCACCAGCTCCAAACTGTTTAGTACCTGGTCAGAGTTGTCACATGTGCTACCATAAGTAGCATTGTGGACAGGGTGAGCAGACACCTGGATGGTATGGTTGCCCTGGAAGTCTCTGTTGGGGATGGAAGGGTAGACAAAGGTCAAGGAGAAATGGTTCCTGTGGAAATCTTGGGTTACTGCCAAGAAGGATTTCCCCAGGGAACATAGATGTTGTTGTAGAGAGGGTCCTTAGGGCATAGGCCACACTGAGAAGTGTGGTGGTATTGTGTTCCCCAAAATATTGTGTACTCTAATAAATTTATCTGGGGTCAGAGAACAGACAGCCACTAGACACAAAAGCTAGAAAATGGTGGCACTCACACCTTTAATCCTAGCATTCCAGAGATAGAAATCCCTCTGGATCTCTGTGAGTTCAAGGCCACATTGGAAACAGCCAGGCATGGTGACTCACGCCTTTAATCCCAGGAAGTGAGGCTTTAATCCTAGGGAGTGATGGTAGAAAGCATAAATGTATATAAGGCATGAGGACCAGAAACTAGAAGCATTTTGGCTGGTTAAGCTTTCGGGCTTTGGAGCAACACAGTTCAGCTGAGATTCATTCTGGATGAGAACTCAGAGGCTTCCAGTCTGAGGAAACAGGACCAGCTGAGGAACTGGTGAGGTGAGATAGCTGTGGCTTGTTCTGTCTCTCTGATCTACCAGCATGGACCCCAATAACTCGCCTCAGGTTTGATTTTATTAATAAGAACTTTTAAGATTCCTGCTACAGAGAAGGTGTCTCTGTGATCTGCTAGCTGGTCATTGAAGTAACCTCAGGGTCTTGGAAAAATTCTGGCGGGTAAAAGGCAGCTTACTTTGTTCCATTGACTCTGTTCTGCTGACTGACTAATGTTATATCTTAAAGCGATCACCCTAAGGTGGTAGGGAGGAATATAGATATTTTAGAGAATCAGAGGGCTCATGTAGTGAACATCTTTTAAGGGCATTGTTCAAGCAGTATTGAAGAAGCCTGGTCATATCAGATCTGCAAGCCAGTATCTGAAGTCAGTTCTCAGACTGGCTGGTGTCTGATAAGAGGACAGGGAATAGAGAAAAGACACACAATGGGCACAATGGGAGCTGGAGCACTTTTAACTACAGTGCATATCTTCTCTGCCACTAAGGACACAGTCTTGTTGCCATACACTGTAGTAGGCAGAGAATAGAGTAAATATAGCCTGCACAGCACAAAGCCGCTCTACAGCTGGGTCATCAGGCAGGTGGCATCTATAGGTCAGCCTTGTAGTTACTGCAGGCCACACAGTCTGGTATCCTACCCCAGATCCACTCTGGCAAAATGAACAGCCATACCAGGCCTCTCTCCTGGGTCTGTCATATATATGTATCTGGCCAGCGAAGTAGAAATGGATTTTAATCCAGTTTGTGTTTCTGCATTAGTGAAGCTCACAGATGCCCAGGCTGTTTGAAGATGTTCGTTTCGCTCAGGTGCTGGGCCTCAATAATTTAAAATTAACTCAACTCTCTCAGCATAAAAAGTAATGGATCTGTCAGAACCCAAGTGCGGAATGCCTAATTTAAGATTTTACATGCTAATTCTGAATAAATGGAGGTGTCACGAGAAGGAAGGGTTCTCTTTTTAAGTGCATAAAGGAAGACCATGAGTTAGTGGGGACCATTAAAGGCACACCTTTAGTGTCTCAGTCTTCATGAATGCCAGACTCAGACCCATGTCCTGAAATCTGTTCTCAGAAACCCCCAGCACAGAAACTCAGAAGTCCCTATTGAAACGATCAATGGCATTATCGTTCAGAGAGCTCTGTCGTTTGAGTGTGGAACACCTTTTTGATGTGACCCAGAAGTGCTGGAATCCAGTGCAGGTAATGTATGCTTATGATCAAACTTCTGTTTGGCCTCAAAGCCCTCAGGCTGGGGTCACATCTAAGGGTGGAGGAGCTTGGACCTTTCCTCCCTGCAGGGCTTTCTCTCTGTGTCTTTGGAAGAGGGATGCAGTGGCAAGTGGGGAGAAGTAGGGGGTTCGTGGAGAGTCATCAACCCAGAGCTGGGATTTCCAGGAAACACTAATACATAAATATTACTTTAGGTGCCCCTGACTCAAAATGCCCCCTGGGTACCTGAAAAAGCTTGATAATGTTCCATATCCCCAACTTACCTACACTATTTTGCCTGGCAATTTGGGACACAACAGAAAATGGAGGTCATGGCCATTCCTATCTTCTTGTTGGAATGCAAGTTTGTTCAGGATATAGAACTTTGACCTGTGGTTTGTCTTATCTGTGCTCTGACTCCCCATCCTTGGCACTTTGTCCTTCTGGGTTGAGACCAGGAAGTCACACTGATTTTTTTTTTTTTGGTATTAGTTAACTCATCGTTGTGCTAAACCATCTGAAAGAAGCACCTTAAAGGAAGAGGATTTATTTGGGCTCAGAGTTTGAAGGGATACGGTCTGTCATGGTGGGGAAGGCATGGGAGCAAGAGAGGCTCATGGCTGCTGCAGCAGGAGCATAAGGCAGCTTGCTTCCATCTCTCTGGATCAAGAAACAGAAAGAGTTGGGCTAGGGGAATAAAGATCTCCAGCCCTTCACACCCACTCTAAGTGACCCACTTCTACCAGCTGTGTTCCAACTGTCAATAATTCTACAACCTTCTGAAATGGTTACACTAGCTGGGGATGGAGTTTTCAAATGCATGAGCCTGTGGGTGGCATTTGGCATTCAATTACAAGTAATGACAGTGGACAGCTTGGGCCTGGCATCCAGCTTGGCTCCAGTCTCCTCAGCCAGTTCTCTCTCTCTCTCTCTCTCTCTCTCTCTCTCTCTCTCTCTCTCTCTCTCTGTGTGTGTGTGTGTGTGTGTGTGTGTGTGTGTGTGTGTATCAGCTCAGGCTTCCGCATCTTGTCTGAGTCATGTGATGTAATGGGAAAATAGAGTCTGGGGTTAAGGGCTCTGATTCATCCCTCGGCTATGTTTCCCTTATAAGTCATCTACAGGCTCCTTATGAACCATTCACTATTAGGGTTACTTGTTTCCTACAGCCGAGCACATAGAGCTGTGAAGTTCCCAGGGCTGGTTGTGGCCCAGACCCTTGCCTTCTCACTGGCCTGGACCCCGTAATGTCATGATGCACAGGAAAAGTCCACAGAAAGGGAAGATGGGGCCAGTAAAGAGACTGCCATACTGCTTGACTCTCTCTGCATGTGCTGGTCCGTATCTGGGCATTTTTGAGTGCGCGGTGGGCAAATATAATACATAGCTTAGGAGTCCTTGAAGGAGGCCTGTATCCCTCACCAAGAATATGGGGCTTTGAACAAATGGTGGGGCTACATGGAGACTCTGGTGACTCCTACCATCCCGGCTGTCACTGGTAGGGTAGGTAGTATTCAGAAAGAGAAAGCTGTTGGAGCCTTCCAGGGCTACACCCCTGCATGCTTGACTTCCAGTGGCAGAGTATAGTTGAAAGTTTTCCTGAGTCCCAGCCTGCCAGCGGTCGGAACAAATCTCTCCCACTTGCATCCCCCAAGTAAACACACAGAGGCTTATATTAATTATAACTGCATGGCCATGGCTCAAGCTTTGTGCTAGCTATCTCTTATATCTTGAATTAGCCCATAATTATTAATCTATGTATTAACACATGTTCCATGGCTTTACCTGTGTCCCATTACATGTTGCTCCTTGGGAGGCTTGCTGCTGTCTCCCTCCACTCCCCCACCACCCCACCTTCTTCTTGTCTCTCTCTTTGAATTTCCCACCTGCCTTTAACCCATCAGCAGAGTGCAAAGGAGTCATATTCCAAGGATCTGACCATATCTCCTGTTTTTATCTTAAAATGAAAAGGAGAATCAGTATTCATTCCCATGTAGACCCAAGGAAACTTCTAGAGTCTAATTTTTCAGGTGTGAGCAGGCCCCTCTTTCTTTCCCAAAGTAGGTCTCAACAAGTAAGTAATAACTTCCTCCCCGCACAGGGTTCGTCTCTTCCTCCCATTTCCTTGTCCCTTCTGAGGATTTTAGTGCCACATTTGTCATTTGTCATGGCTTCTTATCACAGGACTCTTCGAGGACATACCCGTGTCTTTAATACTCTGCACTCTTGGTAGGATGAGACTGTGCCCTTCTGGTCTCTGTAGCTCCAAGGGCCAGGCTGAGGGCCGAGCATGTTGTGCCTGCAAATGTCATTATAAAATGAATTCCTGACTACATCCATACACTCGCTATGTGCTTCATGGGATGAGATGCAGATGGTAGGTTTTAAGTGGGGAAAACAAACGCTGGAATAACTGCTCACAACATTTCCAGGAGTTTCTCTCCCCAAAGAGTAGGAAATTGGAAAATGCCTTTGTAGAAAGCAGACTTCTTCCAGGTCCACACACCTGTAGGGCATGAACATTAATGAGCTTACTCCAACCATGTTCTTGGGAAATGCAGGATTTATTGTTTGAAGGAAAATAAATCAGTATTCAGAATGGATTCAGGAGAAGATCTTCAATGGCTTTATTGCTCTTAGAGGCTAGTCTTTATAGACAGAGGGATACCTTCAAAGAGCTGAGTGTTAGGACAAAAGGTAGTTAGTAGATCATATCTCAGGAAGATGGGCAGAGCTGGCGTCTGGGAGAATGGTGATGGGGGTGGTAGGCTGCACAGCTCTTGGAGTCTTGCAGGGTTGAGGCTGGGATTTTTGGCTGTGGACAGCTATATCTTCTTGCCAGTCTGCACCTACATTTACTGGTGCTGTGCCCAAGCCTTCAGTAAAGATCTGCAAAGGTCCCAGCTTGCTCCTCTGTAAGTTCTAAGCAGACAATTAGTGGCCAGTCCCACCTCTGCCTAATGGTACGGCATTTGCTGTGCAAAGATAGTGTGTCTAGCAGAATAATTCACTTGCATCCCCAAAACAGTGAAAGGCACCCGAGTCACAAAAAAACCTTGGAGACTGGCTGAGATGACTGGCTAAGGTTGAAGGTTGGAACAAGAATTCCAGTGTAAGCTTCCAGAGCCAATGGAACATGGAGAATTTAAAAATCTGAATATCAATACGGCCTCTATGAGTCTTCTTCGGCTAACCTCAGATGAATGAAGCCTCCAGTGCCCATCCCTTTAATGCCAGAGCCTGTCCTAGTTCAACAGTGTTGTACACTTTTCAGATTCAGAGTGTTTGAATCACCCTTAGACAAGGATTCCCCAAAGCTACACCTTCTCATGCACTTGCTGGGAAAGACAATGGCACCATGTAACTCCTTGCCTATGATACCCACCTGTGTGCCACACACACGTGAGCATTCACACAATTCATCTTTCTGTGCACACACACTGACCTTATCAGCTCAAGTCCTAGAACCTCCACTAAATCCCCCACACACATTAGACTCTCTGATATCTCCCCCCAAGGGGAGCCACACCCTCATGTGGGGTCACCATCTGCAGCCTCAGATTGACTGTGCTTCTTCATATGTGTCAGGAGAATGGTGCGTGTTACTTTTGGAGATCAATGCAGCAAGCTTCAAATAATGTATATCGTAAAAAAAAAAAAAAAAAAAAAAAGACTCTCAGCCATGTGCACAGAGAACACAAACCATTTTGTGCTGAGAGAGCTGCACTCCGCCATCTATTTGTTTGTTGACTGCTGTCAAATATAATAAAAGGAAATAAATCTCTGTGAACAGAAAAATTAAGGCACATAAATGTGCTATTGTTTTTGAATTTGTCCTGGACTCATAAAACAGTACTTCCCTTCCCTTCCCGAGTGGTCAGATAAATAAATTAACTCTAAAGTCGGAAAGAAAAACACGTCCATGGAAAAGTGCTCTGCAGGGGCGCGGGGCCTGATCTGCACACGGTGTTCTACTTTCTCTTGCTGGCTGCCTCCCTCGGTTCTCTGCAAAGTTCAGGACCACAGGAAAGGGGCCTGATGAGTGTCCCTCTGGCTCCAGATCCTCTCTCTGACCCTGAGTCCTCTTCTCCCCAGTTTCACCTTCCTGCCTACAAAAACACCAAATCCCTGCTCAATCCTTCCCTCCTTGGTGACTCTGTTCAGTCATTTCCTGTTTGCTACCAACGTGAGTGTTCCCTCTTCACCAGCCACCACTCCTACCTCCTCTGGGGAGCCTCTGCAGAGTAGGCTGCTGCATCCCTACTCTGTCCCTTTGAGATACAACATGCCCAGGAATGTTCCCACCTCCCTCACTGGCCTGGGGCACTGGGACAACTATATCTTGATTAATCCTGGACCAACAGATGGGAAACCACCCAGGGTCTTTGACCTGGTTTGAAAGATTCTGGGCTGCAGCTGACTTACCAGGGTACAATCTCAGCTATGTGTTAGACTACCTGGAATCTCACCTCACTTGCCTTAACACTTTTCTAGACCTTTTACTTCCTGATTTTCCACACCCACGCTACCCTGGGCACATCAGGAAGCAATTCTTAAGGAGATTCCTGAGCAGAAAGCTTCGACCCCAGATAGACTTCTGGAGAACCTTCCTGGATTATTTAATTTTCTAGTTGCTGTGACAAACTGCCTGACAAAAATAACTTAAGGAAGGAAAGGTTAGTTTCTTTTGAACCATGCAGTTTGAAGATGGGGTCTCATGGTGGGGGAGGCATGGTGATGGGATCCCAACACAGGTGGTCACACTATGTGCACAGTCAGGACACACAGAAAGATGAGTATTGAGCCTCAGCTCATTTTCTCCTTTATTTTCAGCTTAGGATCCCAGCCCATAGAATGTCATTGCTAACATTCAGGGTAGACCTTCCCACCTCAGTTAAATCTCACCTGAAATACTTCAGCTGACACAGGCAGAGGTGTGTCTCCCAGGTGATTCTAAATCCCAAGTTGCCCATGAAGATTACCCATCATGCTTCATATAAGAAGATCACCTGGGCAGTTGAAGGAGACGCTCCAGAACCCAGCCAAGCAGGTCTGTAACAAGGAGGAAAGGGCATGACCAGGAATTGCTTTCTTCTCCTTCTTCCTCAGAAGCATCAGCCACCTTGTGACATGACCCCATCAGAAGTAGGACTGAAATGGGTGATATCAACACTGCCAGGAACCCACGGGACCTCCTCAGCTACTCCTGGCCACATCTCTGGGCAATCCATAGGACAGTGGAGTGCCCTGGAGGGAGTCCTTGAGTTCCTGGCTTAGAGAGGACTTGGAGTAACTCTCAAAGATAAAGAAGCTGTGGTAGAAGTCCTCACTCCATGCTGGTAAAGATGCTCAAAGGATGGTACTTCTCTCATGAGGATTATTTTTCAGCCCCTGTTCTAAGTGCTGTTAATTTACAATCATCACTTAGTATCTATGGGAGACTGGCACCGGAACCTTGGTGGAGACTCCAATCTAAGGATGCTTAAATCCTTTGTATGAAACAGCATAATGTGTGCCTGTAAAGCATTCATTTAATCCTTACAGAAACATACTAAGAGCTACTGTTATCCCATTTTATGAATGAGAAAATGTATATTCAGAAAGGCTCAAAACCTTGTCCTAGGGAGAGCAGGGCCAAGAATCAACCCCCAGCATTCTGGGCCAGCATCTGAGTTCCCATACCCCTCTTTGCTCCCTCTTGGCCTATGACAAAATGATGTGCTCTATGTTGTTAGTTCATAGTTCAGACTCTTACAGACACATGAAAGAAACAGATAATCCTATGCAGTCATACAGGGGCAAGCCCTTGGGAAAGGAAGCCTGGCCCCAGGCTGCTGAGACCTTGCTCAGTGGGTGACAATAGCCCAGAGGGCTGAGGTTCAGTGAGGCTCTGTCTTCCCATGAGACTAAGAGCAGGAGGGACCTATGAATACAGTAAAGGGTGGGAGTAAGAGAAGGAGGGATGGTGGTCCTTAAGGACCTGGGACTGGGACAAGGGCAGAGTGGAAGAGGGCTGTCTCCATGTGTGGGAATAGTGGGCTGACAGTTTGAGATGCTAGATGGACCTTGGTGCTGAGTGAAGAGGTTGCATAGGACAGGCTGAGTTGTTCTTTTGTAGACTGAACATCAGCGAAGAACTGTCCCAGGCTTTGTGTGCCCGCACTTACCCATCTCCCTCTGTTTTATCTCTCTCTGTTTCCTACAGCCTAACACTTCTGTGCTGTGGGATGGTCTGTATGTCAAATCTGTTGCTCTGATTGATCAATAAATAAAACACTGATTGGCCAGTGGCTAAGCAGGAAGTATAGGCAGGGCTAACAGAGAGGAGAAAAGAAAGAACAGGGAGGCGGAAGGAGTCACTGCCAGCCGCCACCATGACAAGCAGCATGTGAAGATGCCAGTAAGCCACGAACCACGTGGCAAGGTATAGATTTATGGGAATGGATTAATTTGAGCTATAAAAAATAGTTAAGAAGAAGCCTGCCACAGCCATACACTTTATAAGCAATATAAATCTCTGTGTTTACTTGGTTGGGTGTGAGCAGCTGTGGGACTGGCGGGTGACAAAGATTTGTCCTGACTGTGGGCAAGGCAAGAAAACTCAAGCTACACTTTTGTCTCCTGTGAAATGGGTGCATGAGCCTTACAGTTTCACTGTTCCCCACTGCGATGACTCCTACGAGCAGAGTTGGCAATCTCTTCTCCTGCTCCTTTCTACTGCCTGTTTGTTTCTTGGACTCAGGATAGAGAGAGGAGATCTCTGTTCTCTACAATGCTTTGGGTTTATTGTTCTGGTTGTCTAGCAGATTAAATCATATGCACACATAAGCACATGCGTGCCTTTACACGCCTACACACACACACACATACACACAAGACAACTAACCAGTGCCAAAATCCATTCTCAAGACAGTGCTGCCTGACACACAATAGAGCAAAAGAAATATTTGCCCAACTGCTCCATAATTTGAATAGAGAGGCTCTTACAGTTAATTAATAACTCATCTGTCCCCGAATTCAGTGACACTCCATTGATCCATCTTTCTGACATCACCCCCCCCAAAGCCTTCCTACCAGTTACAAAAAAAGGTCATGTGCCTTGCTCATGTTGATGTCCATGACTGTACTAAAGACTGGTCCCTGAGGCAGTGTGTGGGGGGTGGGGTGGGGTGGGGTGCTTTGGGAAGTGACTGGGTCATGAGGATCCTTTCCTTATCAATGAAGGACAGTTTGCTGGTGGTGGCTGTGGAAGGCAGACTCTAACTAGAATGAGGTAGACTGTCTTTGAAGAGAATATCTTGTCCTGCAGTCTCTGCTTTGGTCGGCTTCCCTGGCTTTCCTACCACCACCAAGGAGTGTAGCCAGTCAGACATGACGGCAGCTGGAAATGCTGATCAAGACTGCTCTAACACACACCACTACCCTGTAGGTTGTCAGTCAGATACTTTGTTACAGCGAAGGAAGCCACTGTACCTCCTACGGGAGCCACTGTTGACTGGCCAACCAAGAGCCTTTCCCAAGCTCCAGCCCCTGTCTGTTCTTAATAGTGATTTCTAGCTCCCACACACATAGAATTATCAGAGAGGTTTAAGTTCTGAACAGCCCAATATTAAGAAGGGAGACCTGATGGTAAATGTCTCATATGGGATACTTTTCTTCCTGATTTAAAAAACAAAAACCAAACAAACAGAAACAACAAAACAAAACAAAACAAACAAACAAAAAAATAGCACAGAGGGGAAGTATGTCAGCAGGGCAGCAGGGGGCCTATTTTCTTCTTCCTGCTTTGAAGACAGATTTAACGCCTGGAGCTTCAACGGCCATTTTGCCACCATGAGGCAAAAATGTATATAGATGAACATCGAGCAAGTTACCGAGTTGAGAGGATGAGAAACCCAGAAAAATCCTGAAAACTTGGTGGTTCCATGGCTGAGCTGACGACAAGGCTGGAGACATCTTAACAATAAACACCCTTGATGCTTAAGACACAGTTAATCTGGTTTTCTGTTACTTAGAGTGAAAAGCTTTCTCATCTGACAGACACATCTTAATGGCCACTCTCTTAAGCTATGCAAAGGCCCAGCAAGAAGCTTTGAAATGGCTCTTCATAAATACTCCTTTAAACTAGCCACGGGACATCTGCATTTCTGCCTGGAGTGAGAGAAAGACACAGGCAGTCCCTTGAATGCTTATCTGGTGTCCTTAACTAAGCTGTTTAACAGGAAGAATGCGTTTTTTATGCACCTCATCTCCTAAACAACACCTTAACTGTCTCTCTGTGTGGAGAGGATGCTGAGCAAATTCCTGAGGCATTATGCTGAGCTAGGCATTTGTTAGCTCTTCTCTTAAACAATTGCCCTCGCTTCCCACTTAGCTCTCTTCTTCTTTGAACATGGCACTCTCCAACACTCTGGAACTTTCTCAGGTCAGAGTTGACGTCTGTTCATCTCCTGTCCCCTGCAGTGCTGGGCGGTGTATGGAGCATGGGGGATGTGCTCAGTATAGGACTGCTGGATGAGAGGAGACAGACAGGGCAAACACATCACCAAGTCCACCTAGACCTGTCACGTGCTTTAGCTGAGTCCGGCCGTTTTAACTCACCTTCCAGTGACTGTTCAGCAAGGAGACCTAGATGAGAATCTGCTGGGTTCTCGAAGAGGGTACAGAAACCAGCATCTTCCGCTTTCTTCCTCTCCATGAAATTTCTGAATGTGACTGAGGAGCAGCTGCAGCCATTTTGTATACTTTGAACTAAATGCCTCTTAACTGACCTGTGTGCTACTGAATGAGAGGTTTTATCCCTGCCTCCCTCTTCAGTCGCTGAGAAGCCATGGAGTTTCATTGAGAAAAACAGAGGATTTCCTGAGTTCAAGATGCAGAAGCTTCTGAAGGAGACCCAGGTCCCCAGCTGGCTGGCCTTCCCTGTGCTGGCGGCGATCAGATTTCCTCTGTCTGCTAGTCATTTCCCAAAAGCCCAGCAGTGGCTTGATCTGCATCTTGAAAACTTGCAAGGATATGCATCCATGGCTGACCAGCCAGGACATACTACCCAGGCTCTTCCCAGCAGTTTGTGCTTCTTGGTGCTCCCAGCATAGCCGTCCTCCAGGGCAGGGAAAGCAGGGCCTGTGAATGCCTGAGCATCCCAGCAAGGGTCCTAGGGAATCAGGAGTGTGGAGGACTAGCCTGTAGCCCTGCCTTCCCAGGCACTGGGCAGCATGTTGCCTAAGATTGGTGGCTTTGTAAGTCTCAAAACACACCTGCAGGTGACAGAGAAGGTCCTCGGCTGGGCTGGATAGGGCACCAGACACCTGAGTTCTTTTTGTGTCTTTGGAGAAGGACAGTCTTGTTTCCTGTGGTCTTCTTTGCTGTCCTCGGAGCTCACAATCTTGGTAACCTTCCACTCACACTAGGCATTTGATGCAGTTTGGATGATAGGCTTTGTGTCGTCTTCTCCTACAGGAGAGAATAAGTCAAAAGACCTCTCATTGTCATTCCTCAGCATTTCCTCACACAAGGCTGGCCCGGAGATACAGGGAGTGTGGCCATGACCCTTCTGTTATTTTCTAACCACATGCTACCTGGTAACAGGGGCCTTCCGATCCCACAGGCCTGGTGGATAATGGGGAAGAGCATGGCATTCTGGGTAGAAATCATGGAGACATCCACAATCATGGAAGACTTTCAAAGTGACTCATATCTTGAAAGCAGTGTTATTTTACATCTAGTCAGAGAGGGTAATATCAAACTCATGAAACATTTACTAACTTGGCTGCATAAACAGCAAAACCACCTCTCTCCCATTAAATATTTTTTTCTTTTTTGCAAAAGATATTTTAGTAAAATACTGCAGCTTGCAATTTAATTACAATGAGTAATTAAAACTTAGAGCATAATCATTTTTGGCAAAAAGTCAGTTTTTGTTAAAATTTTAAGATAGAAAAAAGATGCATATTACGACCATAATACTGTTAGTAATTAAGATACATGCATCAATTATTAAAGATGCAAACATGTCAAGCAAGCATAACTAATTATTTGAGCATGTTAACAGTTGTTTAATGTTAACAAGCAGTGAATTATTAAAGACCCCATGTGTCACATTCTGGACTGCACAAAATAGAATGTTCTGGAACGCTTTATGATTTTCAGGTTTTTCCTTAGATCTCCTCTGTCGGGTTACCATAAAGTTAAGATAACTTGCCTTTAAAATGGATTTCTAAAATAATTAGCTGTAATCAGGCTGGGAGAGACCACGTCTCAGAGTTTGTGCGGCAGAGGGGGAAAAAAAGCAGCAGTAGATCCCAGGGAGAAACTGCAGACCAAGCACCATGTCTGCAGGAAAGATTTATGTCATTTGGGGGAAATGTTTGCCACTGTAGGTTTGGCAGAGGGGCAGAAACTGGAAAATGTAGCATTGAGTTGGTGAAAAAATAATAATAACAATAATTTAAAAATCTGGGGATAAAGCAGAGATTCAGCGGCTCAACACACATTTCCTTCCCAGCTGTATGCTGCTTCTTTTTTCTATTTAGAGGCACACCTTGAAAACAGCCCTTCACGCAATCATATAATCAAGATGCCAATTAAGACACTTGTATAAATCACATGCAAAGCAATGCTTGGATTATTTTTGACTGTCAAACCGCAAATCAACGCCGGCAACGTTCTCACTGGGATTCAACCAGTCCGGGGCTTTTCCTTTCCCTAGACACAGAGAAGAAGCCCTTGGGGCTGGAGGGGGGCCGAGGTGTGTGTGTGGGGGGATGTGCATCTGTGTATGGACCTAGAAATCAGTGAGGAAACATCACATTGGGGTCCTAGAGCCCAACACTCTCTGCTCCCTTGAGTCCTCAGCCTCCAACCTTGACCCTGCAAACAGGACAAAGGAAACAGTGAGCTCATGGAGCCTGAATGGAGCTTTGAGGAACCTGGCCTGTGGCAGAGGGTAAGAAGAACATTAACATAATGGGGGTTAACTCCTAGCTACCCTTGTCTGGCACCCGCAGAAATAGCTGGAATACACTGTGGTCCTCAAAGAATGCACCCTTTGAGCCCACCAAAGAGCCTCCTGACCCAGAGGCAGCCACCCTCTCCTTGTGTGCAATCAGCCACTGTTTCACTGTTTCACAGGCAGGGGAGTGACCCTCCTCAGATGCTTTGGATGTCCAGCCCTCTGCCCTGCATGAGGATGTCAGTAATAATGATCCCACAATACACAGCCTGCTTTCAGAAGTGTACAATGGCCCAGAGGAAGGATCACAGTAAGGAACAGTGACACCCAGGAGGAGAGTGGGCCAGTTGGCCTCCCCCTGGGTAAGAGAAGGAGGGTTTTCCTTTGGTCATCTATCCAGCCTACTTCCCAACTTTCCCAGAGTGCTGGTGGAGCCAGATCCTGACCCAGGGACAGGAAGTGAGGCAGACGAAGAACCTCGGCAAAAACCCACATTGAGATTGCCAGTCTGATGGGAGCCAATAGCCTAACTGGCAGCCAGCTATAACCTTTGGTGAAGTAAAGACTTGAGGTTTGGGGGAGCAGGTGCCCAGAGGTAGGGAACAGTCAGTTGGCAAAAGCTTGCAGAAGTAGGTATGCCAGCTTCCCTGCCCTTTCCCCTGCAGGTGCAGGCATCAGACTCAGCTTCTGGGGCCAGCATCCACACACAGTCAGCCTTTTAGCCCTGTCAGAAAACAGGAGGGACCTCTTTTCTGGGAGATCCTTCTTTTCTCCTTCAGACTCCTGCTGTCTGTCATATTCACTGGCAGGTGTGTGCTACATAGACACTCAACCTATTCACTCCCTGCAAAACTAGACAGAACTAGATTCTAATGACACTAGAAAATCTCATCCCTACTCACTCAGGCATAAGCCCAGAAGAAAAGACCTCAGAGGAACTCTGCTTGCTGGCTTCCTTTCTTTGGCTTGCTCAAACTGATTTTTTTATACAGCTGCAGTCCATCCACCTGCCTAAGATGTGACACCACCCACAGTGGGCTGCTTCCTCCCACTTCAACATTAATCAAGAAAATGCCCAAACAGACATGCCCACAGGACAATCCAATGGAGGCAATGCCCCAGTTGAAGTTGCCTCTTCCCACCCTGGCAGCAGGTAGAGAGCCTTATAAGAGATGGATAGTCTTGGAACTTCTGGTCTGGATTTGGCTGGCACCTCTGGACTTAGTAGATCCACAAGGACCACACTTCTCTACAGAGATGGATGATCGAAGGATACCAGGCATCCTGGGAGAGAAGAGAAAGCATTTATGTTCAACAGGCCTGTGTCACCAGGGAACGTGTGAATCTCTCCTAGGGGAAGACCACAGACTCTGATATCTATGTGCCACACAACAGGTAACTGTAGATGTAAAGGTCTTATTAAATAAGAAACAAAGAGCCAAATGCAGAGTCAAAAGCCCAAGAGGTCAGAGAAGTAGCTAAGAGCTGAGACTAAAAACCCTTTCTTACCCCTCGCTGCCGCTGCCATCCTTCCCCTCATGCTACAGGTAACCACTCCAAACTATTATTTGCATACCTGCAACATGTCTCCTCGGGGACACAGCTTTGCAGACTGAGTAGGCCTTCTCTTTGTCCTATCCCTTTCCACCAGAAGACACAGAGGTAATAAGATGATGACAATGGATAATGGAGCAAGAAGGTGGATGGAGCCTGGGCCTTCAGATAAGTACATCAAAGGGAGCTTCCCAGACATGAACATGTCTCTATATATGACAAATTTCCATGTGTCTGTCATTATACTTTTGGATCTGTTTGTAATAGAATCTGTTCCTGACCAGGCACTGACCACATCACTATTGCACTATTCTTAGAATCCATATGAGAGCCATCAGATGTAGTCGCTATGGGCTTGGATAGTGTGACTCTTCCTTCTCCCCTTATCTGTTATCTGACTCTCCTGTATCTGCATTTTTCAAATTGCGCTTCCTTTATTCCATTTTCTGAAACACCACACACCCCTCATACTTCCAATACACATGATCACGGGCGGGGCCTTTGCCTGTGTTGATTTCTCTTTGTGTGAAGTTCCTGAAGTGTCGATCACTAACTATCCTTTTGCATGTCAATGATTCATGTTTTCTGGAAATTTCTTTACCAAACCACACTCCAGTTCTTTGCCTGATGAATTCTTACTCATCCTTGTAATCTGTTGCTTTCTAGACCCTTCCTTGAACTTGAGTCTGCAGACTCGGTCAAACTTCCCAGTACACATTTGACATGTTTGTTGTGACTACTTAGTTAAGGCTTACATTTATTTGGTGATATCTTATCACCATTCAGAAGACTAGATTAGAACTAAAGAGTAAAATAAATTCCATACTTTAAAATACAAAGGCAAGATGATGTGTGCATCAGTGCCATTAGGGTGTTGTGTGGAAATCATACCAGATTTCCTTGGGAAAACCCAGTATCCAAGAGAGATTCCTTGAAAAGCATTAAGTCATCCAGCCAGGCAGGGTGACAGATTGAGCTGGTGTCTGGTATCCTGCCCCCCTGTTCAGTATCATTTCACAGGGATACCTCAGAGTGGGAGGTGCTCCCCTTTGTTCAGCAGCCCTGGTAGCAGGTCCAGGTGAAAATCCAATCCACACTTACAAGACACCTCCGGCCGAGCTGGCACTCCTTCGCTATTGCTTTGGGAACTATTTCTAAAAGCAGGATGGGCTCTCTGCTGAAGCCCCCACAATCACCCAGAAAACACTGTCCACCATAGGACAAGAGCCTCACAGAAAGCTCCCAGTGAGTTCTAAATCCCGGAGCCTGGGCATTCCAGATCCTGAAATTGTGGGTCTCCCAGTCCCCAGCTTGAGCACTGGCGGCTGAGAGTGTTCCTCTGGCCCGGTGCCAAGCACATTCCTTCATGTGTCAGCCCTGAATCTCTTCATATGTTAGGGTGAGCGGCGTGTACACTCCTTTTTTTTTTTCACTTCCAAGGCAGTTCTACCATCTGTTTCTATTATGGGACTTTATGGCACAGAATACCTCAGACACCAGAGCCCCCATCTTTTTCCTGGCGGGCAGTTAAAGTACTTTATGAACGAAATGATTAAAAGGTAGGGGCCTCCTTAATTTCTCCCCCATTTTTCTTGGCACATTATGGAATTCAGAAGGTTTTTTTTTTACAGTTCATTTTATGAAGATGAAAGGTGATTTAAGAGAAAATTAAGAAATTATCGGGGAATGTAAATGTGACCGCAAACCGCCTTTTAAAAATCCTTTAATCTCATCATGATTAAGTGGGGTTTTTTCATATTGTTGCCTAACTGCACAGATTTAAGAAGGCAAAATTCAGGCATGGGCTGAAATTTGCAAATAATTCTGAAACTTGATATTACAGAGACTCCCGTGGTTCTGTATTATAAAAGCAAATTAAGTCGGCTGCTCGAGGAAGCTTTAGTCAGAAAGTTCTGGATACATTTGGTACCAGATACGCACAGCTGATTAGCTATATAGCTTTAATGAAAGACATGAATTGCTGAAATGTCTCATTAAAAAACTCACGTCTTGGGGTCTTCTTTGAACACAAAATAGGTCCACTCTGCACACACACACACACACACACACACACACACACACACACACACACACACTCACACTGTATTCTAAATAACCCTACATGTTCTACACAACATGAGAGAGCATTCTGTCCATCACTGTCTGTGGTTCATTCCTTGGCCTGTTTATAAAAACAAAGACAGTTGTGCACTCTCTGAGGGCATTAAAGTGGCCCACAAAACCTGTGATACCTTTGACATCATAGGAAGAAACAGAAGCCACAAGAGTTACTGCAATTTATGTACAGCAAGCAAGAGGAAGAATCACAGTGTCACATGGAGACTCCTGAAAAATCTCCGTCTTTGTCTGAGGCAAGGCCTGATAGCAGGAGATGAATAGGACCGGACTCATCAGTCCTTAGATGAGTCCTTCCTTTCACATTTCCTGGTAAATTCCAATTGTAACCAGAAGCACCGTAGAGAAGATAAAAGCTGGAAAGCCCAGGCTCCCTGATTTCTGATTTTCTTTCTCGCTGGTCTTTTCCTAATTATGCTTCCATTATGTAAAACAAAGCCTCATCTCTACAGTATCACAGCCAAGGCTGCTTCACTGATGACCAAGAATGGTTGGGAAGGGAGAATCTGGAAGGTATATGAAAGGGATCACTCTTTGGACCACCTGAGGACCTGTTTTGATTCTGCCACAGTTTCAGCACTGAGCAACAGTAGGCTCTAGCCTGTGCAAAGGACCCAGATCTGTCCATCAATATCTGAAGTGAACAAATGTCCCACAATTCTGCTTGGTTCCAAGAAGAGAGCTGACCTCTAACTTCTTGTCTGCCCGCTTCTCCAGCCCTATCCACAGCTCCCAGTTTTGCATGTGGACATCCAGTTCATCTTCTTGCATCTTCAAAGGTGGGCCTGTGCCCCCAGGAAAAACAGGGTCCTTTGTTGCTCTGACAGCCACCTTACCTGTCGTTACAATTAGAAACAAGGCTAGCCGGGCGGTGGTGGTGCACGCCTTTAGTCCCAGCACTCAGGAGGCAGAGGCAGGCAGATCTCTGTGAGTTTGAGGCCAGCCTGGTCTACAAAGTGAGTTCCAGGAAAGGCACAAAGCCACACAGAGAAATCCTGTCTCGAAAAACAAAACAAAACAAAACAAAACAAAAAGGCTAGTCTCCACCAAAACTCCTGTCCAGCCTTGTTGTGTTGGGAAGTATTTAAGTTTTGGGGGTGGAGCCCTTTTGAATAGGTTAATACATTACCTTTAGAAATCTGAGCTTTCTCTCCACCATGGTGTGGAAACAACACAAAACCCTCTTCAGCACCTGTTCTCAGAGTTTTCAGCCTCCAGAACAATAAGCCAAAATATTTCTTTAATGCATTTTCCAGGCCCAGGAGTTCTGTTATCTTGAAAGAAAAGGATACAGTAATCTGTCTCTACCCTGAGCCATTTCTGGACATGGGATACATCCCAAAGACAGAGGGGGCAACAGAGCCCCTTTTATAGTGGGAGTCTCAGCTCCAGAAGGAAGCCATCATGCAGAGACAAGGGCTCCACACTCAGCTACAGTGAGCAAGGACACGGTGGACCTCTGCAAACCCTATCTATTACAAGGGTGTTTTTTCCCCTTTTCCCAGTGGAGATTCCTCTAAAGTCAGGTGAAGTTTAAAGACAAAGCGTGTCCTTGAGAACCAACCAGCAAACACACATACACACACACACACACACACACACACACACACACACACACACACACACAGCTCTTTATTGATCGCTGAGGAATGTGACGAATGTTTTAACCACAACCCACAGCCAGAGGAAATGGAGACCATAGCCACCATATACTTCACAAGCCACAGAATGATGTCCTTGGCTAAACCGGTGGCTGGGAACAAACAGATCTTACAGAATGTAGTACGGGGTGTGCTGCTGTTCAAAAAGTCACTACATCACCATGCCCACAAACCTACTATGATCTCACCAGATTCTTCACAATGTGGAACCCATTGACTGTGGATACCAGACACCTGGAAATCTAGTAAGTGTGGATCTGTCTTCTTAGTTATAGTAGACTATGAACCTCTCCTGGGCACTTACCTGAAGTACAGCAGCATGAACCTACAGCCAGACACTAAGACAAAGAGCTACAAAGACCTTAATTGGAATGAAGTGTCCCTGTGGGGCAACAACCCTTCATACAGTAGATGCAGGGATCTAAACCACTCTCCCCTCTCAGGCAGTACAGGCATGGAACCCGGAGGCTCCTGCATGCTAGCCAAACTCTCCACTCCTGACCTGCACCCCAAGCCTCACCTCTTACTTCAAAGATAATTTTTTGAGCTAGAATTAACAAGCATCCCACGACATCAGCAAGTCCCTCTCTTGCAATAGATGGGGTTTGCAGAGGTCCACCGTGTCCTTGCTCACTGTAGCTGAGTGTGGAGCCTGTGTCTCTGTGTGATGGCTTCCTTCTGGAGCCGAGACTCCCACTATAAAAGGGGCTCTGTTGCCCCCTCTGTCTTTGGGATGTATCCCATGTCCAGAAATGGTTCAGGGTAGAGACAGATTACTGTATCCTTTTCTTTCAAGATAACAGAACTCCTGGGCCTGGAAAATGCATTAAAGAAATATTTTGGCTTATTGTTCTGGAGGCTGAAAACTCTGAGAACAGGTGCTGAAGAGGGCTTTGTGTTGCTTCCACACCATGGTGGAGAGAAAGCTCAGATTTCACCTGCCCAGTTACATGCAAAAGAAACTGAGTTGTACTCCCATCACCAATAAATAAAAAACAATTTTTAAATTCTGTATTACACCCCTTCTACCAAGACTCTGAGATCATTATGGAAGAAGGAACAGGAAGATTGAAAGACTGATAAAGCTACAGACAGTGGAAGTCTGAAGCAAACAATATTTGCTGGATATACCAGGGCAGTTGCATGTACAGCTGCTGTGACTGAATGCACAAGACATACATAAGAGCAAGTCAGCCCAAATCCCAGCATGGAGTGAGGAGGGACTCATGAAGTCCTACCCCCAGCTGAAGGAAAGAGTCAGTTTTCTTCATGAATTTAGCCCCTGAAAGTCTGCCCACACACATTCCGGCAGATGGGCCTACACCCAGCATAAGCTGCTCTAAAAGGCCTCAGCGGGGTCTGTTTTGTTTTTAAGAGAGAACAGTGGCTGGAGGGATGGCTCAGTGAATAAGAATACTTGTGGCTCTTACAGAGGACTCAGGCTTGGTTCTCAAAATCTACATGTTAGCTCACAGTTCTAGGGTATCAGATCCCTTTTGGCCTCAATGGTCCCTGTATGGACATGGTACATGGATATGATGCAGGCAAAATGCTCAGACACATAAAATAAAAATAAATGAAGAGCACATGAGTTGGGAGGAAAAGTGGGGGTAGAGGGCAAAAATGAAGGGAGAGTATTGGGGATGCTTTGATAAAAACACATTATATGCATTATGAAATTCTCAGTAAAATTAAAAATAAATATTCTTTAAAAAGGAGGAAAAAGGAGCAAGACACAGAGACAGAGAGAGACTCTAAGCTATGGAGATAACCCAGCAGTTAAACTGCTTGCCACACAAGCAAGAGGACCAGAATCTTAGTTCATTTGGATCCCCTGATGTAATGCAAAGTAAATGTCAGGTAAGTGTGACCACCCTCCTGTAATCCTAATATCAGAAGGCAAACAGGAGCAGGCTGGCTATCAGGATGAACTTCAATGGTGGACTCTGGGTTTGCCTGAGAGACCCTGACTCAAATAATAAAGTAGGAGATTGATAGAGGAAGATTCCCAACATTAACCTTGGCTTAAAGACACACACACACACACACACACACACACACACACACACACATACATATACACACACATGCTCATACATGCTTACACATGAAGAAGAAACAATTACCTCAAAACTCCAGTGCATTCTGTGACTGTGGGATACTCAGGAGGGGCCAGAATTTAAGGAGGCAGATACTCGTGGGTCAGGTCACTCTGCAAAAACAGCTGTCCAGCCAAGCTGGTGGCAGGGTCTCCTCCACAGTCCAATATACCCTCTCTTTCCTTGCTCCTCAGCTATCCTCTCTTGCCTGAACTTGCATGGATCCCTAGAGGACAAGATCAGGTCAGGCAAATTCTATGTAGTCTAAGAAGTCTGAGCTGTAAGGCTCATATTGTTACATGGCATGTAGGTCCTTACTTACTGATTCAGTTTCCTGGCATTCCAAAATAAATAAGGATATGGAAATTAAAGAAAGGAAAATATTTACTCTGGCCAAACATGGGTGAATAGCTAATTTCATCCCCACTGTACCTATAATAGGCTTATAGTTTATTAACAGCCTCAAGACAAAGGCTACATCATATGTAAACTTGGTTGTGGGACAGGTTAACCACTACTGTCCCGAGGGAGGGGACAGAAGACCCTACTTGAGCCTGAAGTTTCCACTGTTGTCTTTGTTCTCTGCTGTAGAGACAGTCTTTGGAGGGATCCAGGAAGGGGAAACTGAGATGGGTTAGATATTTCATCTTAAAGAACCCTCACTTCTGAAAGGGAAGAGTAGCAGAGGTTTCATGGCTGATCCCTACTCATTGAGGCAAAGCCTTTGTCCCTAAGCCCATTCCTTTTGTATGTGCATCATATCTTTCTCAGTCAGCTTCAAGCTGGGACACCGGCATGCTTATTAAACACATCCATTGGTTTGAAAAAGAAACATCACAGATAGCCAGGGGGAGGGCACAAACTTCACTTTTTAGGTCTTCAAGTGCTCTACCACTGAGCCACATCCCAAGCCCCTCACTGAGGGATTTTAGGCAGGGGCTTTACCACTGAGTCACACCTCAGCTCCTTACTGAGGGATTCTGGGCAGTATCTCTACCACTGAGCCACACACCAGCCCCTTACTGGGGGATTCTAGGCAGGTGCTCTACCACTGAGCCACATCCCCAGCCCCTCACTGGGGTATTCTAAGCAGGTGCTCTACCACTGAGCCACACCCTAGTCCCTCACTGGGGGATTCTAGACAGGGGCTCTACCACTGAGCCACGAACATAACACCTCACTGAGGGATTATAGGCAGGTGCTCTACCACTGAGCCACACCCCAGCCCTCACTGAGGGATTCTAGGTAGGTACTCTACCACCGAGCCACACTCCAAGTCCCTCACTGAGGGATTCTAGACAGGTATTCTACACCTGAACCATGCCCTCACCTTGAGTTGGTTCTTACAGTCTATTACCAACATGCCAGTCATCTCTGAGAACTTCCTAATATGACAAGATATTGCACAGTCCTTGCCATGTATCTGGCCTGCATCATGTTTCCAGTAAGCCCAGCTTCCCTGTGGTGGGAAATGTTGTTTAGAGCCTACAGTAGTGATTCTCAGCACTATAGGGCTGGCTATTGTCTCCAAGCAACCCCTTACAATATACACATTTAAAAAAATAAAATAAAATTTCTAAATCTCAAGAGAAAACATGTCACAAATTCAAATTGGCATTTTCAATTCAAGCTAAGATTGAATTTTGATTTGCCTCTTTTTTCTCATGCTGGAAATCTTCTAATGACATTAAAATCATTGTTTCATGGCTTCTTCCTACTTGATATGAATGTAAGAGAAAATTTCTGAATGACAACATGGTACCACACAGCACATCTCCAGGTAGCTGACACCTTTGTATTATAATCCCCTTGAAAATCTTCTTTAAATTCATTAAAAGTGAATTCTCTCCATGGATGACACAACCAACTCAGCCTACATTTAGTTTCATCTTTGGATTTTAACCTTGGATCAGTTTCATTTTTTAAATTTTGAATTAATAATATTCAACAGTTGTCTAAACTATTTGTCTCATTCTAAAACCAATTCTTCAAAGGTACATTGAGGCACACAGGTTTTTCTTTTATCTGCCTCTTCCACTGTTTTTCTTTCTTCTCCTTATAATCACACTTATGTCTTATAATTTCACTACATATTACTGTCCAGTGGTTTTTTTTTACTTACTTACTTTTGTTTTGTTTTGACAGGTTCTCACTATGTAGCCTTGGCTAGCCTGGAACTCACCATGTAGACCAGGGTTTTGTCAAACTTATAGAGATCCACCTGCCTCTGTCTCCCCAGTGCTGGGATTGAAGGCTTATGCCACCACACCCGGCCTCACATTTTCTTTAATAATGGCATGCCGTGGTGGTTTGGATGAGAATGGCCCCCATAGGCTCATATATTTGAATGCTTGGCCCCTAGTTGGTGGAAGTGTTTGGGGAAAGATTAGGAAGATTGGCCTTGTTGAAGAGGAGTCACTGGGGATGGATTTTGAGGTTTCAAAAGCCCACACCAGTCCAAAATCATTGCCTCCCACCCCTGCAATGTCTGCCTGCCACCACACTTCCCGTTATGATGACAATAGAATGACCCTCTGAAATTGTAAGAATCTCCCAGTTAAATGCTTTCTTCCATAAGCTGCTTGGTCATGGTACCTCCTCACAGCAATAGAACAGTAATCAAGACATCTATGTTTCTTTATCTCTTGCTTTATTTCACAGAACACATACCAGGGAGAACCTTGTACCATGTTATGGTGAGAGACACTGTCTTCTCTCATGAAGCTGCAGACTGTTCTCTTCTGTTGTGGACCCTCCTGCTTTAATCTTAGTCTAGAGTGTCCCCTGAAGGCCCCTGTGTTGACAACTTGGTCTCCCATGTGCACTTGTGGAAGGTGGTGGGACATTTAAGAGGTGGGGTCTAGCGGGAGGTGTTCATGCCTTTGGGAACATGACCACAAATGAGACTGTGAGACTCTAGTTCATTTTTCCTCTCCTTATTTACTCCCCACAACTAGGTAAGCAATTATGTGTCACCACCATGATGTGTTGCCTTACAATGGTCCAAAATCAGTGGGACCAATGTATCACAGCTGGAATCTCCAACACTGTGAGCTCAAGTAAACCTTGTCCTTTTGTAAGATGATTTATCTCAGGTACTTGTTATAATAATGAGAAACTGAACACACTTTCTTAAACAGGAGAGCTATCCAGAAGAAAATACTGCAGACCACAAAGTGAGGTATTAAAGCATGAACTTTTGGTTGCATGAGGCATACACACACACACACACACACACACACACACACACACACACACACATTTATAGAGTTGAACCAAACTTTGGAATTGCATTGAAGTAATGATTATAGGAGAAGTATGGATTTGTAAGTGTGGCTGTGACAGAAATAAAGAAAAGATTATGACCATTGCATGTCAGTCACTTACTTTGAGCCAGAAACCAGGTAATCACTCTCCTTTGCATGTATTATTTGATTGGTTTCTGATAACTTCACAGGGCATCAAGCAGCTACAGGAAAGCTGTCTTCTTCAACGTGGAATTCTTGTCATGTCAACACTGAGAGAGTCCCAAGTTCAAATGTTCTTCCTCAGCTGTACCCAATTCACTAAACAGTCCCAGGCACTCTACATACTTATCTAGAGCATTCTGGAACTTCACCAGCATATACACAAACACACACACACACACACACACACACACACACACAGAGAGAGAGAGAGAGAGAGAGAGAGAGAGAGAGAGAGAGAGAGAGAGAGAGAATTTTTTCTGAAGTTTTGGAAAAATTCAGGAACCATGAAAATTTCTAACGGAAAGCACTTAACCCCAAATGGCCCTTGGTGACTGATGAGTGACAAAGAGTGTCACTGAAAAACAGGTGCTGATAAGCTTGAACAAGGTCAAGTTCCCCCAAAGCTCACTTCCTGCAGCACCCAGCCCAGCAGGGATGGGTTGCAGTCAGAGTCATGGGGTGTATGATATGACCTGACACTGTGCTCTGTTTAGAGCTCCTGCCTATTAATGTGGCCCATTGTACACACAATGGAAGCTAAAGTGTGTGACTGATGTCTAATGCATCACCTGCTTTTGTCCACTGTGAAACAATTAGCACTCGGCCAGCAAGCTAGGACACCCTTGCAGACAGGAGGTCTGCAGCTAATCTTCACTGGGGCAGCCCTCGGCAGCTGAGGGCCATTCCTCAGCAACAGGAGTAATCATTCCCTTTCACTGTGATCTCCCCACATCCATGCTCCTTGAGGAGAACAGAAGTGGTTTCCCACAGGGCCTAACTGCATGCCCAGGCAGGCAAGTGCTACCATCTTGAAAAATGTATCAGACCCCTGAAGTTTGGCCTCAAGACTCACAGTGACAACATTCTGCTCCTCTTGCTAATGGACATGGCACCCACTCACAAGCTTGAACTCTGTCAAGATGGCAAGTGTAGACAACCCCAAGACACTAGTCATAAACATACAGAGTTTCCCAATGGTTGGTCTTGGGGAAAAGGTCACTGAAGTTTGTTTTCTGCCAAATGTCCCTGGACACACACTTTAAACTGAAGGTTGGTACTTCAGAAGTAGGCAGACCACTCATTTGCCAAGATAGATTTGGCACTGTAGTGCCTATGGAGATTTAACTTTCTGTTCCTTGTCCCCCTTCCTCATTACTAAAGTACATATTTGGGAAAAATATTACCAAAACCTAAAGGCTTTCAAAAACAACCTATCACCTGGTTCCCTATGACTTGTGAACAAGCTGAGTGTAGACTTTCAACAATGTAAGCTCATAGGCTGCCAGCTGATATAACAAAGGTGTGCTGACTCAGGACAGAGAGGTTCATATGAAGCAAGGACATTACAACGGAAGAACCAACAGCCCAGAACCCTACAACAACCTTGCAAATGGGGGCAGGAGGACAGTCAAGAGGCTAATCCTAACATTTAAAAAAGTGGCACTAAAATCATGGCTTCTATTTAAGTGTTTAAGGGCAAACACATTTGCTTTCTTAATTCCCCAAATGCAGTCTCTACCCAAAGAGCTGTGGGGTAGGCATGCATTGTTCTTTGGTGAATCCAGAAGCAGAAGCCAGAAGTTATCTCATGGGGTACCCACAGAGGGAAGCCCACAGAAAATTTCACATGATTCACCTTTATTCCGTACTAAAGGCCAATTGCATATTCTTGCTACAACAAAGTATGGCTAGGCCCATGAAACCCAACACAAGGAAGAATGGGGCCCAAATCAAAGCAAAGACAAACCCTTAGGTTTCATTTATAACACAGATTTGGGGACACATTCAAGGATTTTATTCAGATAGAGACTTGACTCCAGCATTTTGAATGCACAGAGTCTTCAGATCATGGGTGGGAAATCTTTATCCCAGCCTCTCCCACAGCAGACTTCCCAAACAGCTGATGTATTTGAGTCACTAAAGACACATTGCTGTTTTTCTGATGGGTGTAGAGGTGTGAGCTTAGCTATATGGGGGGAGTGACAACCTTTCACTCTCTCTACTTGATTCTGCATTTGGCAAGAACTGTCCACCAGGAATCCCTCCAAGCCTGGATCTAGTCCACTCTGGTGGTGGTTTATGTGAACCAAAGTCAAGATGCACTAAGTAACCAGAATGCAAAGAGTTAAGTTGCTTCCTCCCCCTGATGCCCAGTCTTCATCTCCTCCTCCATCCCAGCCCTTCTCCTCTCCTCTCCCAGGGCTGGCTTCCTGTGATTTATGGAGGGCGCCATCCCTGAAGGGAACTGACAGTCACTCTCATCTTCTTGTGTTCTCCCCCCTCCTCACAGCCAAGGTCATGAGCGAGGGGGCCCCTCCGAGTTTCCTCCACTCGTCCTCCCTCACCCTTACTCTGGTATGGCCTCATGAATCATCCCGTCTTCACATTGAACTCCTGACGCTTCCCCAGCACCAAACTGCCCGACTTCCGCAATTTTTCTTCATTCTCACTAACAATTTGGTAATGAAATATTGATTTTTAGTTAGATTCAAATAGATGTTATTAAGTTTGCATTGATAAATCGTTCCCTTTCTCAGGCTAGAAGTACCTCAGTCAAATTCTAACTGCGCTTCCATACCTGGTGATGTATTAATCTGATGTGTCTGTCAGCCCAGCTAGGGGACCAGAGCTGGGGGTGGGGTCTAATTACTATTACCTCACAGTGAGGGGATAATTCCAGCTGGTGTGTGGCAAGATATTTAGCCTGGAGAGCCAAGTGAGTAAACATTTCCCACTTTTTAAATAGTGTTATTTCTCCATAGCCCCTTGCCTCATGGGAGATAAGATGGACACTGGCCTGTTAAATCTCAATTCCCCGTCCCACCCACACCATGCACATTGTAAATTAAATATATAACATTTAGGTCATATTATAAATTACTAAACAGAGAGGGACGAGAGTATGTCAGTCCATCCTCAAACTGCCGGTGATGTTCTGAATGCTTGTGAGCAAAAGGCAGAATTAATAGTACACTCAGGTTTTGAACAAGGCACCCACGGAGGGTCTGCTGTAGAACTCAGGTGCCCAGCTTCAGCTGGGACATGTGCTTTGGTATAGCCTGGATGCTGTGTGGGAGACAGTCCCAAAGCTTTTCTTGCTCACCTCATCTTCTTGGTCACTATTGTAGCCTCTCCCATACCTCGCTGTCTCTCTTTATTCCTCTTAAAAGCCTTCTTCAGGACCTGATTGGTCCCTCCAGGCCATGCCCAGGGCTATGAAACACTCAAGCCAGAGGAGATTCAGATACATAAAAATCTCTCTCCTAGCAGAGTGCAGAATATGTGCTACTTCAGGGAGAGGGATGCCTTTTTGTAGTAATAAACTGCTTCCATCTCCAGTAGCTGGGCCTTCCTGAAGGTAGGTAGTTACGACAATGATCCATCCTGATACTGATTGTTCATGAGATAGACACAAGATCCAGGTTAGACCAGACAGTGCTCTTCCCCAGAATGATCTCAAATAGAAAGAAATAATTCTTTCTCTTGTCTTGGTTAGAATTTCTATTGATGTGAAGAGACATCATGACCATGGCATCTCTTATAAAAGAAAAACATTTAATTTGAGTGGCTTACATTTTCAGAGGTATAGTTCATTTTAATCATGGTATGGCATGGTGGTATACAAGCAGACATGGTGCTAGAGAAGGAGCTGAGAGTCCTACATCTTGACCCACAGGCAACATAAGGTAGTCTGAAACACTGGAAGTAGCCTGAGCATATATGAGACCTCAAAGCCTGCCTCCACAGTGACACACTTCCTTCAACAAGGCCATACCCACTCCAACAAAGCCACACTTTCTAGTAATGCCACTCCCTATGAGCTTATGGGGGCCAATTACATTCAAACTACCACATTTCTTTTATAGAATATGGGGCCAGAAATACTGAAAAGCACATCCCCCATCTACTGTGTGAGAGAGCTAGCTACCACCAGTCAAGAGCAAGGCAGCTACCTAGTCCTGAAACGGCTGGCAAAACCACTTCCTTTCTCTTAGTAACTCTTCCTCTGGTGAGATTAACCTTCCCAAAGCATGATCATGGTCACTACCTCCAGTGGATTTCCATCACCTGTCATATAACAACACAAATCTTTAATTCAACATCAAAGTGTCTCCAGGATGGAACCCATAACTGCCCTCTTCAATGAACTATCTCTTGGTTGAAGTATTCATCTATGTCCTTCATTTCTCCGATTCTAAAAATCGCCTAAGCCTGTTCTCTATTCTTAGAAGGACCTTCTTCTCTGACTCTCCTCTTGAATCTCCATGTTTCCTTCAGCACTTGTATTAGTCACTTTGGTTTAATAAAACTTCATGATCAAAGCAGCTTATAGAAAGCAGGGTTTATTTGGGCTTATTGCTCCAAGGAATTAGAATTCATGCTGGCTGAGTGGAGGCATGTTAACTAGAGCAGGAAGCTGCCCGTTCACACCTTGAAGCGTAAGCAGGAAGCAAAGAGAGTTAACTGGGAACAGCCCTAGGCTTTGGAACCTTAAAGCCCCTCGAGTGATGCACTCCTCCTAAGCATGGCCACATCTCTGCCTCCCCAAACAGCCCCACAACTCTGTCCAATAGTCAGAGCCTGTGTGGGATATTCTCATTCAAACCAAAGCACCCAAATGTATGACACTTCCCTAGGTGGACACTCCCATTATAAGTGATCAGCATACATTATCTTCCCAACTAAATTGGAATTAGAAGTCTGGAGAAGACATGATCCGTATGTCTATGGTCCTCTCAGACTTTTATTATCAGTGTCATTCATGGAACTCAAGCACATTATAGATGATATAAATGTGTGTGACACTGTGTTAATTCATTGATTTCTTCATTTTCAAGTTCTATCCATTCCATAAAACCAACATTGAATACCCACTCCTCTTCTGAACCCTTCCCAGATATCTTCAATCAGAACCGATCTCTCATCTATGTGTTTCTACACCAAATTGTTTCTACACATTCTAATGTCTAATTAGCTTGAATTAATTAATGTGTACATTTGCAAGCACTCCTTTGACAATAGCTTTGAAACCTTAGCTGGGAAGTGACTCCTAGGATGTGTTTTCTGCTCCTCTCTAAGGCCCTTAAACTCTAGATCCAATCTGTTTCCTTATCTCTTAGGACAGAGATTGGAAGGAAGCAAAGAAGTTTTGGTTGGACTGCACAGAGTGCAATCAATGCGTTTTCCTGAAGGCACAGCTGCAATGTGATGGGTGACTTTTGAGTTTTCAATGTCTGTCCCCGAACCAGTAACAAACACAAGAATATTTAAAAGTAGCATTTCATTGAATTGTATAGATTTGGGGTAAGGTTAATTTTGTTATATGATGTTTTTATTTATTTGCAAGTTATTTTTTAATAATAAAGTTCATTAAGAAACAAAACAACAACAAAAAACACATTATGGTCCATGCTTAGATCTGGCCTGAGGCCCTGTTGGAATCCTGATTTTAAGGAATGTCATCCAGCCTTTCCTTTCCCCACCTCTCCCTGTTTTGTGGAGGCTCTATTCTCAGGTGAGCCTTTCCTACATGGAACTAAGACAGATGCCAGAAGCTCCAGGCTTATATCCAATCTTCTCAGCAACTGGAAAAGCAACTTCTTTCCTTCTTCCACACAGATTTGCACATTTTGATTGGCTGCACTTAGGTCATGTGACCACCACTTACGCTAGTCCAATTGTGCTTTGAGGATGTCTCAAGATCACTAACTCTGGGACCTCACAGTTTAATTTACAGAACACTGTTGTTTCTTTGTAGAAGAAACCTTTCCTCTTAGCCTACCTGGAACTGTAAAGATACTGCAAAGAGCAGTCATTTGTAAGGAAGGAGTGGTTTCCTCCCTGCCAGTCCACAGCTTTCAAAAGTCAGTGATTTTAAGGACATGATCATCTTCAAGTTAGCAGGGATCTGGGATGTCTGTTCCTCACATCAGCTTCTCAGTCTGAGCCCCAGAGTTACAAAGCTGTGGGGAAAGGGGTATGTGAGCTCTAGGTTAATAAGGCTGAGACAGGAGGTAGGGATCTTCAGAGGCAACTGTCAACACACGGCCTTCATGTATGTTATTCCTGGCATGCGAAGCTGAGGCCCAGCATCCGAGAGATGGTTTAATGTCCCAATTTCTCCTCATTGAGGACAGCTCAAAGATGGACAGAAATTCTCTCTGTGCTAAATACATTTTTGTCAACTTGACACAGGCTAGAATCATCTTAGGAGAAGGCCCAGCCTACCCACTATGGGTGGTGCCATCCCCTCAGCAGCTGGTCCTGTGTTGTACAAGAAGGAAGACTGAGCAAGCTGTGGAAGCAAGCTAGTAAACACCATTCCTACCTGACCCCAACTTCGCTTGCTGCCTCCAGGTTTCCCCTTGACTTTCCTCAATGATGGACAGAGATGAGGGATGTATAAGACAAATAAGCCCTTTCCTCCCCAAGTTGCTTTTCACCATGATATTTTTTTTTCCACCATGATGTTATTACAGCATTAGAAAGCAAACTGTGATACCTTTCAACTCGAATGCCAAAGGCTTTAACCTACTCATCAAAGCTGTTTACAGAAAAGCCCTTCAGCCATGCCATTCCTGTAATGGATTCTTACCAGACTCCATGTCACCCAGGAAAGCAAAGGGAACCTGCACATTGTTAATTGGCATTCTTGTGCCCTCACCCTGTCCTCTTGCTTAGCCAGTGGTGTCCAAAGGACAAAAGAAATGTATATAGGCATGATTTAAGGTCCGCCTCTTCCACCCGTGCTGGTAGAGCTATCTGCCCAGTCTGACTGCCCAGTGCTGTGCCGATTGCTCTGGCAATGGACCGGCCTCTGCAATAACACCTATTTGAAAGTAACCATACTTCCTCCCAGCCCCAGGACCAGTGGCCCCCACCGCCAAAGTAGAGCCAGACGGACAGGGAGCAAGGAAGTCTCCCATTTGACCCCTGCTGTTCAGGTTTGCTTCTCATGGCCACTGTGAATGTGGTTTAGATCTGATTGATTTCATCTGTGAAATGAGCTGAAAATCCCTCCCAGGGAGAAGTACTCAACTCCCCTCCTCAGCCCAGACACACCAGATCAATCAGATTGCCCACCGCACGGCACATGTGGGCATGGGCAGGGGCCTCCAGGAGGGCAGAGCTCGTGGGCCTGACAGCAGGAGAGTGGCTGACAGAGCCCCTGCCCTTCAGAACTGAAGTTGCTCTGTAATGCAAGGCTGAAAACCCCGGAAGATGGAGTCCATCACAGTCCATCTGCTTCCACCTCATATTTGGATATCACACACCTGACTTTTGTGGCTACCTTACTGTAGGTCTCTCTAAACTAAACCTTCAGAGACACACATTGGAACAGATAGTAGAGTTGAAGCAGGGGCAATCCCAGGAAGACTCTGGTGGAAGAGGTAAGGAACTGCAGTAGGAGAGGCTACAAATCTGGAAATGGTCAGTTACGCAGGAACAGGTTACCACAGTGGGCATCTGGGGTCAATCTCACTCCACTCATGGGGCATCCTCTCAGTGATTGTGAAGAGCAGATCCTGGGACTGTGTTATTGAGAGGAACAAGCAGAAATGTCTCTCCAATAGCGCCATGCTTTCATTGCTAGGCTGACAGCCTGCCTTGAACAATAAGCCATAGACATGAGGAACTATCTCTGTGTTACAGTCTGAATGCAAAGGCCCCTGTGTTTGAACACCTGGTCCCCAGTCTGCCATGCTATGTTGGGAGGTTGGGTAGCTCTAAAATAGGCCACAAGGTTTAGGCCTTGGGGGTTAGTACCAGGTCCCACTTCTGGTCCCATTTACAGCTTCCTGCTCCTTCAAAGTGTGAGCAGCCAGGCCGTGAGCTCCCACTGCCCAAGAGCCTCCCTAGTTGCCACATTTCCCATCATGATGTACTGTCCCCCTGGAACCATGAGCGGAAATAATCCCCTGCTCCAGCTATTTTGTCCCATTGAAGAGGGAAGTAACTAATGCATGTAGAGACGCCCAAGGTAGACTCGGGGACAGTATGGTAAAGTCAGCTCCAGCTGTATCCTTAGTCCCCACCCCTTCCTTCCCCCTCAGCCAGTCAGATCTTTTTAGGAACCATAGTCATTGTGCTGAGAGACCCAGTGTTCATGTGTCACTGCAGAAAGCCTTCTCCAGTCCCAGTCCAGAGTCAGTGTCACCTTCATTTTAATAGGAACAAGGGAAGGACAAATAAAAGGGGCAGAGAAGGACACAGGGGGGTCAGTATGTAAGCAGGCGTCAGGGAGGCTGGCGCCCCTGGAACCAAGGGCCAAACGGCTGTCTTTCTCCTTTCCTGCATCCCGCTAGGTCCAGGGCTTTCCATGTCTCACAGGACATTAATGCAAATTTTTATAATTTCCCTCTTCATCTAAGAGAGACTCCAGCTCAGTTGTCTAAGAGGCACTGATGAAGCTGACGTGAAAAATTCCATAATTGGTTGCCAATATCCAATTACTCCCGGGTAATATGGAAGTGATGGCGAGGCGAGCCAAAAAGGCCCGGCCTAGGAACAGTCAGTACAAATGGAGCCTTGGCACAGCCCTGATTCATGGTCACAAACATGGGACAGAATACAACTTGGGGGAGGGGGGAAGTCACATCCTCAGTCTCCCTCAGCCAAGCATCTCCTAATGCTTCTCCTCCAGCAGAGCCTTTTCTCAGAGCTGGAATGCTCTTCAGTGTCCACCAGGTGCCCTGAAAAATGGGCCCATCAGAGGCAGGGAGAGTGATTGGCACAGGCTCTGCCACACTCAGCAGGCTCCACTGGCAGCAAACCGTGCCGGCCTTCTCTAGGTTTCCTGGCTTTCTCTTTTATACAATGGGCCCGTCGAGAACGTGTAGCAGTTGTAAGGAGAGAACTGCATTGAAAGTAAGTCTTCAGACTGAAGTATGGTGATGAGATGATGGCCAAGGGGTGGTGTCTCTGACCAGCCATCAAGAGGAAGCAACAGAAGCCCAGGCCTGAGAGAATGGTTTCTACAAATGAACGGGAGACTGCATATGAATTCTACTCCATCAGTGCTTATGAAAATAGGTGGCCATACAAGCCTGCAATCCAGGACTCGAGGCAACTATGAGCTGGAGGTCAACCTGGTCTCAAACATCATCAAAAATAATAAAATATGTATTGAGGTGGCTGGTGACAAACGGACAGTCATGCCGTCCCAAATACTTACCTGGTTTCAGAACGTGCCTGTGAAGGTGGTGGTTGGTTCCTCTGGCCCAGAGGAGGAGGTGATTGGCACTCAGATGCCCACCTCCAGGCTCAGGGGTGAGGTCAGGGGCAGAGCGAAGAGGATGAGCCCTCTGCTGTTCTGCACTGTATCATGTCTACAAATAAATGGGGTAATTCAGTTTCCAGGACGCGTAACCTTTTCACTTGGCATAAATTGTGATCACCCAAATAAATACAGGAAAATCACATTAAAAACGTATATATACGAAGCTCATTCATTCAAGACATTTTCCAACTCTGAAATATACCTGTGTCTCTCCAAGAGTAGGAAAAAAAAAACCTCAATTCAGGACTTTGTGCATCTATGTATATCTCTGTCAGCTGCAGGATAGGGTACTGTAATTCCTAACAGCCCAAATGACCTCACAGTTGCCCCTTAGAAAGGTCAAAGGTCAAAGCCCCCCACCCTTCCCCGTTATGAATTGGCAGAGAGTGAGTGAGATGTATGACCAGGTCACCATGCAGTGCCAGGAATGTCTGAGCAATAATCAATTGCAAATTATGTCTTATCAAGTTAAGAGTCAAATGGAAAGGAGGCTGTGGCTGAATATTTTATCCAAGCCATTTGACGAGAATGGAAATGACCTTAAGGCTTTAACAAAAACTTTGGAGAGGATGCTCAAGGGCCACAGTCTTTAGGCAGCATTTAAAACCAGTTCTGCCATATTAAAGAGCCAAGGGTTGGAGAGATGAGATGGCTGAATGGTAGAACACATGTGTGGCATGGGCAAGACCCAGGGCTCGATCCCCAATACCACAAACCAAAAGAGACAAGATCTAGACAAGTCAGAGGCCCAGGATGTGGCCTCAGAGGGGTCTTCCCTGGGGGCACTGGGACTGCAGCCCCTTCCGAGAGCATGGGCTATCTCTTTCATTGTGTACTGCTTTTGCCAAGAGAGCTTCCTCCCACTTATCACAGCCTCGTACCAGGGTCATAGGGAGGTCAGGCCTCACCAGAGTGCCACAAGGGAAGACGGGTCGAGATCTAGCTTGGGGAAGAAGGACCATTGCTGTCAGCCCCTCAGAGGGGATTCTTCCTCCTGAGCATGTCTCTACTGAGGCTGTTAGAGGCAGAGCTCAGACATTTCTGAGAACAGAGCAGAAATACTGCCGCAAAATACCATTCAGTGATGCGGAGCAGTGCTCATGGGAGTCACATTTCACACAGTGTGGGGAGGCTGAAATGCCAGGTGAGGCTCTGCTTCCATCCCACTGCCTGGCTTGTCTGCCTGAATAGTTCATGTGACAGAGGAGAGGGCTGGTGCCCCAGGCTCTGTGTTCGGGCTACTCGTGCACATGGCATTTTATAATTTACATGAAGCGTGGTCTTTTTGCTAAATTTTGGTGCTCACGGTTTCCCAGAGAAAGAGAACTTGATGTCCATCTTCCTCTAACAGGTAACTTGGCCAGTCTCAGGAGGAGGAGCCTCAGGTCACCTAATAACAGAGCTGGGTCAAGGTCAGTACAAGATGTACCTAAGAAACTCATAGGCATCCAGAGATGTCTCCTGAGAATGGCCTGAAAATGACCTCTGATATAGACAGATATGGGGTGGTCATGGCACAGGTCATCGATAGAGTGCCCATAGCTTCACATCAGAGCTTCTCACCCTTTCTAATGCTATGATCCTGTAATACAGTTCCTCATGTTATGATGACCTCCAACTGTAAAATTATTTCATTGCTACTTTATAACTGTAATTTTGCTACTTTATGACTCCTAATGTAAATATCCGTGTTTTCCAATGGTCTTAGATGACTCCTGTGAAAGGGACGTTTGACCCCCAAAGGAGTCGCAGCCCACAGGTTGAGAACTGTTGTTTTACATCATGTCTGCAGGAGTGGGCTGAGTTTAAGGAGATGTGGGGTCTGTGGCCACCTTGTGATTGTGGAAGAGCAGTGAGATGGACGACCTGGACACAGAGGCCATTTGGTGGACAGACTATGCCAGCCTTTCCCAGGAATGAGTGCTATGGTCCACTCTGTAGCACAGGGAGGGGAAATAAATTGAGAATTAAATCTCAATTTTAACTCACCAAGGCTGAATGGTCCTAGTGTATGTACCAACCTGGCTCAGGACAAGGGGACTTTGTACTTGGGGTAGAAAAACAGAGATATACCCTCCAGTATAGCACGAATCTTAGAAGATCATATTAATAAAAACAAACCTGGAGCCAGGTATTGGGGTGAACGCTGAAAGATCAGAGAAACAGAACAAGCCACAGCTACCTCACCTTGCCAATTCCTCAGCTGATTCTGTTTCCTCAGACTGGATGCCTCTCAGCTGAATTGTGCTGCTCAAAATCCTAAAAGCTTAACCAGGCCTAATTCCTCGTCCTCACACCTTAAATACCTTTCTGCTTCCTACCATCACTTCCTGGGATTAAAGGCTCTTGTTACCATGCCTGATTGTTTCCAGTGTGGCTTTGAACTCACAGAGTTCCAGACAGATCTCTGCCTCTGGAATGCTAGGATTAAAGGCATATGTGCCACCATTTTCTGGCCTATATATCTAGTGGCTGTTCTGTTTTCTGACCCCAGATAAGTTTATTAGGAAACACAATATATTGGGGAACACAATATATCACCACACCCCAGCTCTCTCTCTCTTGTGGATAGAAATCTTTGCTAAACTCAGCAAGGTTTAGCTGTGTAAATGGTAATTGATAGGTGCTTCAAGATCACTTCCAACTATCTCACAACTTCTCAGACTGTCCAGCTGCAGAGACTAGTTAGCTGCGATGGAGGGTGAGTGAGGTGGAAAGTCTCATGAGTCTTCTTCTACAGGTGCATCTGCTCCCTGAAAACCAGAGACTGTTCCCCAGGGGAGGAGATGTGGAGACATGCAGGGAATCAAACCTGAGAGTATCCTTCCCAAGATAGTCCCAGGTGGGCTGGTCTGGTCTTCCTGCCCTCCTACCCCGGCAATGGGCATTTGTAAGAACCAGGAGTCCATATCAGTAAGAGTGAGAGGACCATTCCTGGAGCCTCTGCTTTCTCCCCATGGTCCCTGCTGAATGCCTGCGCCTGCCTGGAGTCCACAGACCACAGAAACATCTATACCTCTGGGCTTTAATTATGCTTGATTTTAGCTTCTGCTGAGTGATCATTCGTCTTCCTCTAAGCCCCCATTTTTCCCAGAGCAGTTTCTTGATGTTATTAGAGCTGTCTATAAAATATGAATCCCAATTCCATGATAGTCATAAAAGCCATAAAATTCTATGCCTGCCATGAAAATATTACATGATTTACTTTTGTGTGAAGTACATATTAAATCTCGGTAGTGGGATAGGAGTTTGGCTCTTCAACATCGCCAACTTTTAATAACACACACTTTGCCCTAAATTTCTATTATTTTAAGTTCCCTTTCTTCATTTTACAATAGCTCTTCATTTCAAAATAGAGTCAGAATATAGCCCTGGTTTTATTTATAGATAAAAGTTAGTAGTCACTGTATTTTGATTTTTTCTCCCTTTTTATGGTGTTTGTTTTTGTCATATATATGACATGATTTGTGCATTGGCTTGCTTTGGTTTTATTTCAGGTGCCTTTGGAGCAATATCAGGCGATTAACCAAATCCCGCAATACTACCATAGGCAGATACTACCATTGGTGGGGTCAGTGGGGTATGTCTGCATAAACACACACACACACACACACACACACACACACGCACACGCACACGCACACGCACACGCACACGCACACGCACACACACACACCGGTAAATGTGAGCTGGGAAGTGGGGAGGAGAGGAATCTGTATGAAATGGAGGAACAAGAGAAAGAATGGGTAGCACTCTTTTTCTACACTCCACCCATGAATCAGTAAGTGATTACAATGCAGTGTAAGAACTGCAGACGGGAAGACTTGGGCTGGCCTCTGGACAACAGTGGAGTTTGGAGAGACAGAAAAGTTGGGACAACATCAGGCACAAAACCTTGGGCTTCATAGTGACAAAGCTCAGAGGATGCTGAATAGCGTGTAAGATGTCCTGTCCAGCCAGCACAGTCCCCGGAAGAACCAACCCCTGCTAGATCCCCAGCATCACACACACGTGCCAGCTTTCCTGCCCATAGACCCATAACGCATTTCAAACAAATCAGGGGTGGAGGGGAGATTGGTTTTCAGCCTGGAGGGTGCTTGTGACATTTGGAACGAGTTGAAACTGATCTAAGAGATTTTCATTTCAAAAGATATCTGATAGGATGTGTCGATGGGGTGTTTCACACACCTCATCACAGTTCAAAGACTGCAGCCATAAGAATGGTGATCCCAAGGTGGAGAGCAGATGTGTACAGCTGCAGCAGGAAGGGGGTTCCTGGTACTCAGACCTGCCCACCAGCCATCTGACATAGTATGGAGACAAAGGGCACATGTCTGATCCAGGCAGGCTTTAGGTTGGTGATATCCAGGCACCAACCAGAGGGCACATACTAGGCTCCCCCACCCCCGCCACCCCCGATCCCAGCACAGCTAACTACTTTGTCTTACACGGTTGACAGCTGAGAAGTTAGACAAAACTACTTCTCAAGGTGGGCTCTCAGAAGGAGGGGGAGGGGATAACAAAGTGGAAGAAACAATTCCAAGTGAGGAGTTAGGTATTTATTTCCTGCAGTGGGTAATCTCCCACCCTGTGGGCTGTGGCCATGTGCACACTGAGTCAACAGGCCTTTCACAGGTCACAGTCCAGAGGGAATCTTGGAATGAGGACCATGAAAGTGATACCCACTCATCTGTGTTAAGTGAAGCCATAGAAGCCACTATGAGGGTTACAGAAAGTGAATGTCTGAATTGCCTTTGTCAGGGAAGGCCTTCTTGTATCCACTCACTGCCCAGTCCAGTTTAGTAGTTCTACACACCTCAGCATTTTCCTAACATCCCTCCAACCTGTGGCTTCCACTGAAGACCATTCCTCACTCCACAGTCACCCTGCTGTGCAGGCAGGTTGATGTCAAGACTGGGGAACAGCTCTCTGAACCCCAGGATCTGTGTCTAACCAACCCAGCACCCTGCTATTGCTGAAAGCAGAAAGTCTCCTCAGAGCCAGCTGGCCATGGCCACCTCTCTATAGAATGCAAGGTTGTTTGAACTTCCAGTTCAGAAGGACCTGGAGGTGTGGCCTTAGAGGAGGTGTGTCACTGGGGTGGGCTTTGAAGTTCCAAAAGCCTCCTGCCATCCCAGTGTGCTCTCTGCCTCCTGCCCTCAGATCAAGACGCAGCCCCTCAGCTGCCTTTGCTCTGCCGCGGTGGGCTTAGAAAACCCCACGCCCCATTAAATGCTTTCTTCTATAAGCTGCCTTGGCCATGGTGCCTTTATTCACAACAATGGAAAAGTAGCTAAGGCACAAGGGAATCCCATTTCTCAGCTGCATCCCATTTGCAACATCCACAAAAGCAACCACACACATTAAACAAATAATCCTAATATTACTTTCAATACATTGCCAGGGGTGCTGGCACATTCCTGTGACCCTAGCACTGGAGACCAAGGCAGGAAGATATACAATTCAAGGACATCCCTGAGCTACATAAGGACTTAAAGGCTAGCCAAGACTACATAATGAATCCCTCCTCTAAAAAATAAAAATGATCTACCAAAAACCTTTTGTTTATGTTTTGGGCATAGGAACCAAATGGACTTGAGTAACCCAACTGCTTCAATTAAAAATAGCAGAAATAGCTGGGCAGTGGTGGTGCACGCCTTTAATCCCAGCACTCGGGAGACAGAGCCAGGCAGATCTCTGTGAGTTCAAGGACAGCCTGGTCTACAGAGTGAGATCCAGGATAGGCACCAAAACTACACAGAAAAACCCTGTCTTGAAAAACCAAAAATAAATAAATAAATAAATAAATAAATAAATAAATAAATAAATAAAAATAGCAGAAATGCTAAAGCAATTAGACAAGTTAAACTTGTTGACAGGAACCAGAGCTTCTAGTGTGACCCTTAGACCAGAGTCTTTCTTCAGTGGGTGGCAGTCGACAGAACAAAAGGCAGGAGAAATCTGTACAAATAGAGTTTTGTGAGTGAAAATTGATCAAGATGGACGGACATACAGATCTGATTTGGGGGTGGGATGCTGTAATGTATAGTGCAGCCTGTGAATGGGTGGCTGGTTCCTGTAAGATTAGAGAAAATCCCGAGGGGAAGGTCTCCTCCTGTCTGCTCTTATGCTTAGTGCCACCCACCTGGAAGCGTCTTCCCTCTGGCATTCGGCAGCATTTGCTGAGCAAGTCTCTGCTGCTAAATGGTTTCGCTCCTCAGTCAGTCCTGCAGCCATTGCCTCTGAGTCTACTTACCTTCCGGAGACTGGGGAAACTGCAGCCCTTGGTTACAGAGGGAAACTGCCCTGTCCCCATTACACTTCCTGAGTGCTTGTTCTCAGTCTTGGCAAGACTCCTAGGATCCTCTGAGATTCTTTCTTTAAAAAAAAATATTTTGATTAATTCTTTACAAATTTGATATAATGTAGTTTGATAATATTCATCTCCAACTCCTCCCCTTAACTCCTGCCAGGCCCACCCCCTCCCTCTCCACATCATGTTCACTTTTTTACCAAAAGTAATAACTAATACATTCTAATTTATGCTGTCCATATACTTCTCTGAGTGGGAAGAGGTTCATGAGTCCCCACCCCTCACTGAGGAGTAACGGACAGTGGATGACCCCTTAGATTCTGTTCTACAGAGTAACCCTTTTGGTCCAAGCAGAGCTAGGGGATGCATACATCAAGTTAGAGACACACCACACATGTTTTGGTAGAGACTAGTGGCCCTAATATGACAATGGAGCTGAAAAGTCCCCTTACCCAGTGATGCTGTAGCCATCCTGGTGTTCACAGTCACATGCCTGTCATGACAACGGTGACAGAGCACATATAATTATGTACACTGTATAGTACCTGATAAGGCTGCATCCCAGCAACCGACCTGCTCCATCTGGGAGGTCATAAGGACACTCGGCAATGTATTTACACAGCGGTGAACTTGCAGGAAAAGGAATCCCCCAGAACGCAGTTCCATCATTGATTGAAGCATGTCTGTGATTCGTGGCTTAGGTTTGAAGTTGTCAAGCAAAAGAGGACTGCCAACAGGCTGCCAGACTAAGGAACCAGCACAGAGTAGAGCTGTGCAGAGACTCTTCAGCATGAAATGCAGGATGTGAGGAGACACAGCACCACTCTGGCACTGTGTCCCTCCCTCCAAGGTCAGCCAAGCCCTGGAAACCCTGAAATAATAAACTAGTGTGTGTGTCCAGACAAGAACCACCTACTTCTGGATTCCACAGGCTC